TAGCTTACGTTTACATTCACTCATTCTATTTAATTTATGGATAAAAAAAACACGATCAGCACAAGATCAAGACGGAAATTAGTCAGACGGAAACGGTCGTAACCGTCTTCGTCTGGGAGGCGTTCCGTTTGCAAACGATACTTGCGGAAAGTCTCAAATTCAGACGGAAACGCAAAATTTGGCGGAAAAGGTGCTAGCGTGATAGCGCCTTAATAAAAACGGACTATTTCCACGCCTGGAGTTCACACGGAGTTGACGGAAGAATTGCGATGGAGCTTTTAACTCCCACCCCCTCCCTCAGAGCGGAATTGCAAAAGTTGACGGAAGAATTGTGATGGAGCCTCACCTCCCACCCCCTCCCTCAGAGCGGCATCCGACTCACCCTCAGCATCAGGGCGAGGAACTACCTGACGCTGCTCTCCCCCGAACTCGGCGCCAAGGTCATCGTCCACTCCCCTCGGCGCATCCCCTTCCCGGAGGACGAGGGGTTCAACGTGTCTCCCGGCGTCAGCGTCTCCGTCAGCGTAGGCACGGTGAGGGCCCGGGAGGGAGCATAATAAGGGGAAAATCGATTTGAATATAAAGGGAATTCCAACCAAATGAAAATGAAAAGAAAAAAAGGAGCGCTTAGGATTTCGAATCTTCAAAATTCGACAAATCAGAACCAGTAAGATTATGTCCACAGCACAATAAATATTTCTCAGGCGTGCGGCTTGAAATAAACCCAAAAAATAGCTATTACTCGACTATAAACATGACCCTTGAACCCACAGAAAGATAGCGAGTGGGTCCTCCTTGGGGCGACTGCGAGGACGAAACCGAGTCAGAAGTCTTCAAGGAATACTCGGACATCGTGAGTTGACACTTGAACGGGACTTTCAAGTGATGGAATAATTCTCTAAAACCTTCGTTCACATAGTAGATGAGCGAGTTTAAAAGGAGAATTTAAATTCACATTACTTTTCCTATATTTAGTGTTATAATCTTTATCATATTTTTCTTCCTGAATTGATTATGGTGATATGAATAAAAATGGTAATGATGATAGTAATAAGAATGGTAATGGTGGAAAGGATAATACCAATAATAATAATGATGATGTTATTAATGTTAATAATAATGATCTTTATGATGATGTTGATAGACATAACATCAATACTACTAGTGATAATAACAAAAATAATAATGATGAATATAATGCTACTGATATAATCATTAATGATAATAGAAATAATAATACTAGTAGTACTAATAATAAAAATGATAATAATGATATTATTAATAATAATAGCATTGATAATGATAATAATAATAAACTAATAATAATATTGATAATGGAAATGATGACAATTATCACAATATTATCAATGATAATAAAAAAAACTGCAACATGCCCCAGAGATGCAAGAAACTGTGCCAAGAGAATGAAATCTGGGACTCGTGTGGCTGCTACCTCGGCCGAAGTCCAGCGTATGAGTCGTCCTTTAGTCGTCCAGGGAGCAAGTGTTCGCCTTTCAACATCACCGAAAGTGCGTGTTTTTGGCTTCGTGTGTGTGTGTAAGGGGGGGGGGGGGATTTTGTGGCCTGGAGGGATGGGGGAGAGGGGGGAGGGGATTGTTGTGGGAAAAATATATTTAGGTTTTGCATTCATGGATATATTTTTTCTCTCTCTCCGTTTTTTATCTTCGTATGTTTCATTTTTTCTCCCTCTCTTTTTGGTTCTCTCTCTCTCTCTCAATTTCTCTCTCTCTCTCTCTCTCTCTCTCTCTCTCTCTCTCTCTCTCTCTCTCTCTCTCTCTCTCTCTCTCTCTTCTCTCTCTCACTCACTCACTCTCTCTCTATCTCTCACTCTCTCTCTCTCTCTCTCTCTCTCTCTCTCTCTCTCTCTCTCTTCTCTCTCTTCTCTCTCTCTCTCTCTCTCTCTCTCTCCTCTCACTCACTCACTCACTCACTCTCTATCTCTCTCTCACTCTCTCTCTCTCTCTCACTCTCTCTCTCTCTCTCTCTCTCTCTCTCTCTCTCTCTCTCTCTCTCTCTCTCTCTCTCTCTCTCTCTCTCTCTCTCTCTCTCTCCCTTCTCTCCCTCTCTCTCTCTCTCTCTCTCTCTCTCTTCTCCTCCCTCCCTCTCCCCCCCCACTCTCTCTCTTCTCCCCATCCACTCTCTCTCCCTCCCCCTCCCCCCCACTCTCTCTCTCTCTCTCTCTCTCTCTCCCTCCCTCTCTCTCTCCCTCCCTCTCTCCCTCTCCCTCCCCCTCCCCCCCCCACTCTCTCCTCTCCCTCCCCCCCCTCTCTCTCTCCCTCTCCCTCTTTTCCCAGAGCTGTGCATGGAGACGGTGAGGTTCTCCTACCAGAACGGCCTTCTGAACTGCGACTGCCCGCCCGCCTGCAAGTGAGTCGGGAAATGCGCATTATTTTGTTTATTCGTCTGTTTAGAGTCAGAAAAATAATGGGAAAAAACGATAGGAGAAGAGAGTGATTAAAAATATGGAACGTTATTTTTT